CTCCGCAAACAGCTTCTTCTTTGCGTCCATGTTCTTCACATATATCATAGCTATACATTTCTACCACTAGATGGCGTCGCCACTTACGGCTGCGCAACCTTGTCGACCTCCGCGAACAGCTTCTTCTTTGCGTCAATGTTCTCTACGATCGACTCGATGACGATGTCTGCCGACTCGACGAACGCCTTCATGTCCGTCGTCAGCGTCAGCCGCTTGAGAGCGCTCGACATGAACACCTCCGCTCCCTGCAAGCAGTAGCGCCACCTACGTGTGAGCTGGGGTAGCGGCGACAATGAGGTCAAGAAGTCGAGGCGCGAGATGCGATGACGAGCAGACACATGAGTAGAAATGTATGTATATATATATATATATACGTTCGTTCATACATATACAGTTCAATACGTATGATTGTCATACATACGACAGTTCATACGTATGATATGTCGTAGCATACCGATTGTTCATACATACTTACAGTTCATACGGTAATCTGCATGTCAAGTACATTGACCATGTTCATTACATAGATTCGTTGCGTACATACGCATTTTTGCATACACTATCGACAGTTCATAGACGGACATTATAGTTGTTCAGCATCGACATACGTATACATGGTTTGAGATACAAGGTCATTACGTATACCGAAACCACTTGTTCGTAAAACGACAGTTCATACGTATTGATCTGTTCATACATACCGACAGTTCATACATACGATTGTTCATACATACGACAGTTCTACGTATGAAATTGGCTTTCGTACATACGATTGTTCATACATACGGCAGTTCATACATACAACAGTTCATACGTATGATTGTTCATACATACAACAGTTCATACGTATGATTGTTCATACATATGACAGTTCATACGTAATGATTGTTTTCGTACATACGATTGTTCATACATACGGCAGTTCATACATACGATTGTTCATACATACGGCAGTTCATACGTACGATTGTTCATACATACAACAGTTCATACGTATGATTGTTCGTACATACGTTTGTTCATACATATGATTGTTCATACATATGACAGTTCATACGTATGACAGTTCGTACATACGATTGTTCATACATACGACAGTTCATACGTATGATTGTTCGTACATACAACAGTTCATACGTATGATTGTTCATACATACAACAGTTCATACGTATGATTGTTCATACATACGACAGTTCATACGTATGATTGTTCGTACATACGATTGTTCATACATACGGCAGTTCATACATACGATTGTTCATACATACGGCAGTTCATATGTATGATTGTTCATACATACGATTGTTCATACATACGACAGTTCATACGTATGACTGTTCATACATACAACAGTTCATACGTCGAGGGTTCGTACATACGATTGTTCATACATACGACAGTTC